AATCCCAGTCCCATTCTCAGTTTCCCCTCCCAAGGTCCTCATTGCAATTTTCATTCCCAAACTCATTGCCCAGCCAGTGCCAGTATCCACACCTCAGGCTCCCAGTCTAAGCTAAGTCTTTCCCTGACACTCATTCCACAAACTCCATTATCTCCATCCAGCTCCCAGACAGTCTCTTTCTCTCTCCTGCTTTGTCTTTCTCCCTACCTCTATTGGTCTGTCCAGCCACAATTTATCCCTAACCCTCCAGCTCTCAGTTCTAGTTCATCTAGTACACCTACTTCTTTCCAACTCCTAGTCTTCCTCACCCAATTCTTTGAATCAGTCTACTCTTCTATACTCCAAGTCAAGTTGCTTACCACTCTGCTTTCCCACCAGCCTCCTCCCTCAGAGTGATGTTACATGTTACACTTAGACTATATTAAGGGGACTTAAAACATAAGCACCATCACATTAAAGCTCATTAACTCATGCTAAGTGCCCTATGAGGATCGCAAAGTTATGGCACTTCAAGTGAGGTTTAACTCTGGGTCATGCTATCTAGCCCGTGTTAAGGTAACTTCAGTCTGCTGCATAGAGCTAAAAAGAACAATTTTCAGTCCTCCAGGATGCACCCATCCCAGCCCTCCACTTCCCCTGCTCCCCCCCCCCACAAAGGAGGGATAGTGCACCCCTGCTCACCAGCCCTGCAAGTCAGAACTGTGCAGGCAAGAATGGTATTAACTCCTTAACATGCAACTGCTCACAACATGGGCTAACTTTAATATTGCTTAGCATTCCACAGATTTAGTATAGTCTAAGTGTAATATGTAACTTCACCCCTGTATTACCTGGGTGCCAGCAGGAGGAACATTGATATCACAGAACAGACAACCTTCATCCTTTGGATTCCTCTGTCTGGTGCTACAGGAATTTCTGGCAGATTGGCAAAGCAATTGCAAATGTATGTGAAAGGAATGAGCATGTTCAGTACAAAATTAATCTTCAGAGACTTTAGCTGCCAAACTCTAACAAATGTACACTCAGCATTTGTGAAGTGAGATATTCAAAGGTTTTTTTTGGATCAGAAAATCTTAATGTCATCTCTGCCCATAAGGATGAGATATTCAGAAAAAAATAAATCTGGTGCTTTCATTTAGCCTCTTAGGACACAAGACAACCATGAAATCAAAAGGCAACATATTTACTATCAAAAAATATAATTGAGGCTAAATTTCAGTGGAAATCTATAAATATCTTATCATTTAATATGAATAATGGATGAGATTTCCCCCCAACCCTTATCCTTGTTCTAGCCCCTTTATTAGGTAAAGGTAAAGAGGCTAAGACATTGTAAAAGGCAACACCCCCAGATCAGGATGTGAGGACAATAGCTGCAGGTAGTGCTTCTCACAAGACGGAGACCAGTGGAGCAAAAGGATACAGGGGGTCACATCCTAAACACAGGACGAAATAATATCTTGAGGGCATGGTGCCTGCTTCTGACAGATATTTGAAGAGTCTGTCTTTGTCTTAGAATCTGGCAACATTGTATGGCTCATCATGTCAATAGGGTGTCTTTGAACTGAATTAAATAGAATAACCAGTGCTGTAAAGCATATCAGGCATTCAACGGCAACTGTGGAGTTTCTGGGCAGCTGAAGAATGCTATGGTAACTAGATAGCCAGGAGCTATTCCAGACTGTGAAGCAGAAGTGAACTGGAAGAGCACAAAGGTGGCTTAACACCAACAAATGTATAAAACTCTGGTTTATGTCCTTGAGCACATCATTAACCGTTTTTGTTTAGGAAGAAACTTCCCTGATATCCATGTCATTGCAGATGTATAAGTTATGATGTCTGCATAGCTCCTTTTATTACACCCTGATACTACACTGATTAAGGACAGAGTTAGGATTAGACAGACCATTAGTCTGATCTGTGTACCAATACCAATATTCTTACTGCATACCAAAATTATTCTTCTAAACTGGAATATCCCAGACTTCAGAACAAGCCATTTTGCATGTTCTGTTAGAAAACATTAAAAAAGTACGTTACAGACTCTTCATCACTAAATGATAATAACATCTAAACAATACTTCACTTCTTAACACACCAATTGGCTACTAATGACAGATGCATAATAAATATAACATTTTGAGTAATACTAACTATCAATAGCTTCCAATTTGATTAGTGAATTAGTCCACAATATATTCTGATTTGCTAATTTCCTCATTATTCAGAAATATTTACTAAATATTTTGAATAAGTAAATTTCAGGGTCTGGGTTGTTTGCAAAATCTGCTTTAATTTTTGATATTCCTCATTTTTTCTGTGTGTTTGCTGACATAAATCATGTTACTGTCAATCTTGAATGGATTATGAAAATGTTGGAAAAAGGAAACTAAAAACTGAAGACTAGATAATAAACTGTGGTGTAAACTTTAGAAGATTTTTGTAAACCAATAACATTTTCATGAATGAAAAGCAGTAACAATTAACATTCATGTAGCAAAGCTAATGAAGTGGAGGCTGATTTTTCACTCTAATAGAGCACTTCCCACATGGACTAAACAGGTATCAATTACTTTGCAATTAATTCTGTTAAGTAAATGATCAGCATCAGTAAACCCAGCTACTTTCAACTTTCTATCTAATTTTAGTTATGCCACAACATCTGAAGTTAGCCAGAGAACAGCATGAAAACTGCATAGGCAACATTGTACATCATGCAAAATAATGTGAAGAAAAAGGTTTCACATCTTCCACACGGGTATTCTCTAAATGAATAAGAGGAAAATAATGGTGTGTAAATTAAAAACGAGTGAACAGATTTTACCATGTTAACTTTTCAACCTTTGTAATGTTTACTTTGTCTATTACTAGAACATTAATGGCAAATTTTGTTTGCTTACTGTAATCAAAAGTTTATTGAGAATACATACAGAAAAGTAACCACACAAAGAGTATACCCAATAACCTGCTCATGGAGAAAGGCTCAGGGATTTCACAATTTTGTTTTTACTATTGGGCATCATCTACAGGCAAAGCTGAACTGAAGAAAGTTACGTGAGGTCAGTGTCCCACGTATAGAAGATTTTGTTTTTCTGTCCCAATAAATCTTTGTTGAAATGTCCCTTTAAACATCTCCAACCTAAAACCACAGAAAACAAAATTGAAAAGGAAAAGAAAAAAAAGAAAAAGATAAAATAAAAATGTATTATGCATAGTGGTTATACACATTTATATCAGTTGTATTTACAAGTATACCATTTAAAACATATATAGACAGAGTCCTTTCTGAGTATAAGACTGTATCCATTTATTTGTCAGACAAATTAAATAGTAAGTGTACAAATATACTAAAATAAAATGCAAGTAGCTTTTTGAGAAAATGTCACACAAAGATAAGTAGCATGGGATGTGTGAGAATTAATATTATAGCTAAATCTATATTGTTTTTGGAAACAATAACTGTTTTTTATATTTTTCTAAATATCTCCTCGGCCATCTGATCCAACCTGTTTGACACCGCCTGCCTGCTGCTGTCCTTCTCCTATTGAAAGTCTGGTGAATGGAATGATTTTCATGGAAGTTTTCTTCAGGGAATACCACCGATCATGCCAGGTTGCCCAGATAATACCGTTATCGGTTCCAGAATTTTTCTCTGTGTACCTGCCACCTGAAATGACAGTTGCAGCAGACTATTTAACTGGTTCATGAAATAAGTTATATTCACATAACTATATCACATAACATATCTGACAGTGATAAACTGGATTTAACATGAATCATTGGCTACATCTCTCTAGTAATCTAGGTTCTTAAAATTTATTCTATTACTCCTAACCTGTGGCCATCTTAAAACTGCTGCCTTTGTAATATATATGTGTGTGTGTGTGTGTGTGTGTGTGTGTATACACACATGTAAAGTAAATAAATTAAAATATCCATGTCTGTCTTCATCATTTAAATCTGTTGTAAAAATATGAACTTAATTACATATAAAAATTAGTACCCAAAGAATATTCTACCTGGATAATATTTGCCATTGAGGTGTCCAGCATGACATCTATTCATCCACCATCCAGATCCATCCTGTTCAGCACAATTGTCTTCATACCTATCATTGTCATTGTCAGCTGTACTGAACTGCATGGCATTATGGGATGTAAAAGCCTTGTCACTTGACTCAATTCCAAAAGCAACCCCATCAAAGGCATCCCCAGCATCACCACCAATAAAGTAGCCATAGGTGATTCGGAACTTGTCAGTTTCAGGTCCCACTTTGAACATGGCATAGTCAGCAGTCCTGTTAAAAAAATAGTAGTGAAATTGTGTACAATGGATTCCCAAATCATGAACAATTAGGGAGAGGCATCAGAATTTTATAGATGGTAACTGAATAACTCCACTGTTTAATTAACATGATGTTTTCTTGCTTGAAGACAATGCATTACATTAATGAATCATAATGATCCTTTATCTACCTGCACAACAATGGACAGCCAAAGAGAGAGATTGTAGGCTGTCTCATTGGCATATAAGTATTGCTTTGCAGTCGTGTTCAGGATGTCTGTATTAGATACATAATCAGTCAGACATTGTCTATATTGATATAAAGTGGGAAAGCAAAATACTCCTAGAGGGAAAAAAATGGCTTGCATCACCCAGCACCTGTCTCTCTATCTGGAAGAGAAAATTATGACAATCACAGTCTCTAATTTTTCTCATGTAATTATCTCAGGGGATGTTGAGGGTAGCCTGGCATTCTAACCTAGGGAAAAATGGGCACAACCTAAATGTTCCATCTGGGACCAGGAGAAAACTGAAGATCAGCTTGGAGTTTTCAGGAGCATATACAGCAACCTTTTAGAGGTAGTGAGAGAAGATTCTACCGCCATCATGTTCCTGGGTATTTTTTTAAATACCATAAAGAGAGTAGCTTGATTAATACATCTGACCAATTTACTAATTTTTATGAATTCTGTACAAACTGATTCCAGAGTGTGATCTGGGAATGGAAGCAAATGTCTGTGATTGTTTCAGTAAAATCAGGGCAGATTATAGAGTGGATTTTAAGTTGGAAATTTTAGAAGAGTTTTGGGAAATACCTTTTTTGGCCATCCCAGTCCTCCAGTTCTATTCTTAAGGCATATGGAATAGGAGACTGACTGGTTATTAAATGAATCTTTTCATTGCCCAGCCAGAACTCTGTTTGGTCATCTGGTGACAAGTGTCCAAATCCTTCTTTGTACTGAACCCAATTTTTGTTGAAGTCCTCACTCCCATCAAGTCTCTGGAAAAGAAATAGCCTTAACCAAAGCATCCTATGTCTTATTTAAAGAACCAACATTATCTAATTATGATTATTTATGACACTAATTTATAAATAACATACTCTCTGGAACACTGTCCATCCATTGCCAGATGTGTCAATCTCACAATAGACGAGGAACTGCTCTTTAGCTTTTAGAGGTTTGATGAAGTAAAGACCGCTTTTTCTGACACCTTTGTTTGCAATGTCTTGGCAATCTACAATAAATAATATACCAGTTAGCATTACTGTATTACTACAGTCTTTCTTCTTTTAAACATGGATCTAAATATATCTGATACAATAATAATTTTCTTGCATCTTTTTCATATAATGATTAGAGTGATCTTAGCCTAAATCCTCTTCTTCTTATTCATAGAAGTCTTACTGAAATTCATGGAACATACATAGACTGAGCACAATTTTACCCCTAGTAGGAACTCAGTTGAATGTAAAATGTGATTTTTATTTTAGTTTCTGAGCTATAGCAAGGGCATTTTGTAGGCTAGTTAAAAATACATTTGTCTTGAGGGGAAGGACTGAGAGGCTGAGCAGAAATATTATAACTTTGTAAAGGCACAGCCTTCTTCCACAAAAGTCTGTAAATGTAAGGGATACTGAGATAATCATTTGGGGTTATGTAGGGCAAAAACATGCAAAGACCTGTCCAATAGCCACCTGCATGTAGTGCACAGATCTAGTTCTTCTACTGAATAAAACACAAGCACCATAACTAAGAATCAAACATGTCTGAATCACCTGTATGCCTCTACTTAGCTTTGCAGACTCCAGACAGAAGCACTAAAATGGCCCTCATCTCTATAATGTCTGCAGACTATACTTAAAGTAACAATTTGTGTAAGCTGCATAAGAAACATTTTGTGTACCTTTTCCAGTTGCATCCAGTATTTGGACAGTGTCTTTGCATGGCTCCTGACATTTCACCTCAAGCTGTGCAATCTTTTGTTTCAGTTGTGTGATCTTATTATTATTTAAAATATACATATTTGTCAACTGCCTGGAGATAAAATATAACATTTGTGTATTACATCAGTTGTTTCTTATTGAAAATGATACATTTTTCCTTGGAAACATCTTACTCATTGAACAGGCCTGTCTAAAAGATGCTGTTTAATTTGATATTGGAACAGTCTTTTAAAAACAAGAGCCTCTTTTAAATATTTTTGGTTAAAATGTGGTAACTGGCCACAGCCCTTCACTGGGGACAGTGGAGAGTTGCAGCATTCCACTAAAAGGTCAAACACTCTGCCTCCGAGAGGTACCCATTTGCATGAAAAGGGGAATACTTTGTCACAGTCAGCATTTGGCTGTTGAATAAGATGAGGGAGCCATGGTTTTATTTACTCCTCATCTCTCTCTCTGCCCCCTATTTTGTAATATTCTTAACCTGTTCTGGAGTGGGAGCAACTGGGTAAAGTCTCTGTACTGCCCTAAGCTCAAGGACATCTATGCTGGGAAGCCTTTGAGCAGGCTGTACAAAAGCAGATAGGCCCCTTCCTCACTTTCATTGCCCTTCTATACAGTTGCATAAGGGCCAGCCACGGCCTAATCCTTGGTAAATACCTGTTGGATATCCCTATATATAAACTTGTTTTCTTGAATTTTCATTTTGTTTTATTGTATTTGTCTAGGACTGAAATGGTATTTACCCTGCCGATTGCAAAGCTTATCTTGTTGCAACTCTCTTGTTGCTTCAGTGTCCTGGGAAATATACTTTCTTACCGCTTTTGTTCTATCTGGTACTCAGTTCTACCGGGGAAGAAGCATTCTGGTCCTGATCCAACAAAATACTTAAGCACATGCTTAACCTGAACCAGTTTGACCTGACAAGTCTTTCTTCCTGTGTGAAAATAGCTTGGCTGAGATAAAGTACAATTAAACATAATAGAAACCTGGTCTTTTGAGGTTTGGAGGACACTTCTTAGAAGTGGCATTTCATAAAGTCATGGGAATGGAAATAATGTGAAAAGCTAAGGTTTCCACATTCTCAACTCTGCAAAATGTGGCAACTAACAATTGCATATTATGTTTGCAACTCTTCTTTCAAATATAAAAGAGTATATTCATGAAGTTATAACTTGATATCAGTTTGAAATCTCCTAGTAAAATTAGGTGACACAAATGCATTTAAAATAAAAAATTACATCAGCAGTTATAAAATCTAGACTTGCTGTATATAAACCAATTGTGAACTGTAAT